TGTGTGTGTGTGTGTGTGTGTATGTGTCTGTGTTAGGAGAGGTATGAAGAAAAACATTGTTTATATTTTGAAGTTAAGTAGTGTATAAGTAGACGCCTTTCTGATTTGAAATATACCTAGCCATTTGAATAATGCACAGGTCTGATAAGCATTGTCTCCTGCCTGGGGTAATTTTAGTATTCATAGTGTGCAAAAGAGATTTCTTTGCTCTATCCTTTCTCTGCACGTGAAAATTTTCATAATTAGTGAGAGTACCATTATGTTTTATTTACATTTCTGAACACACTGTTCGTTTCTTTACACATTGTACAAAGAGCTATACGGACTGCTGCATGTAAACAGTAAGCTGAAGATAAACAAAATCTTCCCCGTGTAAGATTGGGTGTAGAGACCAGAGAGCGTTCAATTCGATTCTCGATGCAGTCTAGTCCTGGGGATTCGCACAGGATCTTGCCTCTGACATTGTGCACGGATTTATGTGCAGAGGCGATGACATGGTCGGAGCCGTGGTGCGCCTTTTTGTTTTTGTTGGAGTTGTTTCGTTTTAAAAAGGGGGGAAATCTTGCGGTGGTTTTGGGGCGGGGTAAGGGGGGGGGGCGATTGCTTTAATAATTTAAAGACAAAAGAGCTCCCAGAAAAGCGCTGCGTGCGGTTTGTGAGGGAGCCTGCCGCTATTGCTGCTCACGTTGTTGTGCGACCCAATTGATTGTGGAACAAAATGTCTCAAGGTGAATTCTCTCAGGGTGGATGTCTGTCTGTGAGACAAGTATTGTTCACAGGCTGAATATTGATCACGTACAAAATGCTTTTAAGATGAATATTGCTCTTGGGCTCAATGCTTGTCAGGTAATATATTGATGATAGGATGAATGCTTTCTGAGACGACTTTGTTCAGAGTACAAATACTCCCAGTCTCATATTATAGAGATATTCCCATGGAATAACTTAAGCTGTTTCTTACTGTATACGCTGTCTTTGGACTACTCAGTGTTTTTGTTTTTGTTTTTGTGGGTTTTTTAAAACCCATCTATATCGACTCCATAGTGAGAGATCCTGGATCCGACGCGCAGCGGCACAACTGCGTTTGTCTTTGGATTCATACACGCGAATATGGCTGTTTGCCGTACTCAATTAGCTGGATTCAGTGACATATTTGCACGGCACCCGCTGTCTGTTAGTCGTCCTTACCCCCC